AATTAAACCCTTTTTGAAGATCTCCAATGAATGTAGAAGTTTAACGGGGGTGGGAGAATTAAACCCCCTTATTGAAGATCTTGAATGAATGTAGAAGTTTAACGGGGGTGGGAGAATTAAACCCCCTTATTGAAGATCTTCAATGACTGTAGAAGTTCAACGGAGGTGGGAGAATTAAACCCTTTTTGAAGATCTTCAATGAATGTAGAAGTTTAACGGGGGTGGGAGAATTAAACCCTTTTTGAAGATCTTCAATGAATGTAGAAGTTTAACGGGGGTGGGAGAATTAAACCCTTTTTGAAGATCTTCAATGAATGTAGAAGTTTAACGTGGGTGGGAGAAATAAACCCTTATTGAAGATCTTCATTGAATGTAGAAGTTTAACGGGGGTGGGAGAATTAAACCCTTATTGAAGATCCTCAATGACTGTAGAAGTTCAACGGAGGTGGGAGAATTAAACCCTTATTGAAGATCTCCAATGAATGTAGAAGTTTAACGGGGGTGGGAGAATTAAACCCCCTCATTGAAGATCTTCAATGAATGTAGAGGTTTAACGGGGGTGGGAAAATTAAACCCTCATTGAAGATCGTCAATGAATGTAGAAGTTTAACGGGGGTGGGACATTTATATTCCCTAAATACCCTTGTTGATCTTCCCAATTGAATGTAAAGTCTACCTTTTGATATCCCCAAGTGTACAGCATAGAAGGGGTGTGGGCCATACGGGGTGTTTGCGCGTAATATTTGTCATATGATATATTGGACCATATTTGGATATTTGGGATATATTGGACATATTTGATAAATCGCATATATTGATTTGGATGTTGGCCACAAAAGTGACCCGTGTGATGTGGCTGTGCCACATTAAGGAGCTGGTCGGTGGACAATCCTTTCGAGGTCAGGGCCGGGCCGTCGTATTTTTTTACGTCCAACATGACCATGGATTTTCTGATTTAACCATTAATACCATTAATGTAGATCCAACATATATTAACGCTGGTTGATGTTGGACAATACCTATTCTCACTTGTATATACCTAGTTCATTTGTTTCCAATTGGGTAATCGGAATATATAATCCCAATAGACAATCAAGATGACTGGGGAATCGACTGTTTTTTTGATGGGGAGGCCCTTAAGCAAATCATAGCAAATCCAAATTACCCCTGTTCAACTTTCTTGCTGCTCACTTCCTCCAATGTACACAGCTTCAGGATCTTTAAAAAACTCAGGGCATGGTGTGCATCTGAATTCCAAACCATTTCAGACACTCTTGCGGTAGTCCTACTTCGAACAATTGATAGGGCTACAGGATTCATGTCAAAACAAAAGAATACCGCCTATCCCAACTTTCCAAAAATATCCTCTTTATGTCCCCATAGTGGTATATATAATGTATATAACACAATAAACCATATATGTCCCCATAAACCATATATAAAACATGGTGTATATATATATATACATATAGCCCATAGTTTCCCGATTCCCAACAAGCCTCAGATTCAAACGTCCACTGATCTTCCCGAAAGATAGGTGGACTTTGCGATGGAGTCGAAAGGCCAGGTTCAGCGATTGGTCGATAGCAACATACCTGACATTCCAATTGGTACATGTCAGTACATGTTGATTAATATTAGTTGTAACTTTTAATTATGGTTAATGTGAATGTAATTGTAACATTAATGTAAATGGTGGGTACTTTTAATTGTAACTCCTCATCATTTTAGGGACCCCTCTAATCAATCTGCAGGGTTGACATTAACTATGAAATGGGGATTTTGTCAACAAGAAATGTACTGTAGATGATGCAGAAATCAGAGAATATTTAGAGAAGAATTTGCGGGCCATCATGGGTTTTGAATCCCTGTGATTGGGATGATTAAGCTGGATGGCACGCATGTTTGGGCATGTATTGGTTTTTCGTGTGCGTCACATCTTTGGGATGCGCAGACCAGGACACAAATTCGACAATTCTATATAATCACCAGATCCATCCATCCATTATCATGATGATGATGATGATGATGATGATAGTTAAAATATTATTTACAATTATCAATCCAGCAGTTTATCCTGACAGGTGTTGGCATGCCTGTGTTGCAAGATATCGTTGCGACCGCTGCTTACAGCGACTCAGAAGGGGAGGTGCGGAACTCGAAGATGGTCCCGTGACTAGTTTCAAAAACACCAGCAGGTTGATGATTCTAGGTCATTAAGTCTGGGAGTCTGGGGGATTGTACAACACTACCCAATATATTGATATGTATATATATATATAGAGAAAATTATTATTATTATTACTATTATTATTGTTTAAATAGAATATATATATATATATACACATATAATTGGGGATTATATTCAATGCATTGGGAGTCATGATTAAAAAAAACAAATACAACCATTCTAACGTCTTCTTTGTTCACTTATTGTTCCATTATATCCCGTTATATACCCATTCTATCCCCAATATATCTTCATTCCATCGCCATATTAGGCCCAGGAGTTGGCATGTCCCAGCTTTCAGGAGTTGCTGCGCGCACGGATGTCGATGCTTTGCAGCTGTGAACACCAGCGGTGATGAATGTGTCATATCAGGCGGAGATGCCGCTGGATTTTCTTTGTGGAAACAACACAAAAATCACTGGGCCAATCTTGGATAATTTTGTGCCTTAAAAGAAAAATATGTGGCTATCTTTTGCTACTGCTATGGAGATACACAAACCAGCTAAAAGAAATAATTGGTTATATATAATTCTTTCCAAGCAAAGATTAGCCATGACAGCAAAGAACATGCATAGATCTGGCATTAAGAACTGCAAAAGTCACCAGTTGGCAGAGTTCAGGATCATGTTGATGTCGTCCAAGTTTTTAATTATGCCACCCTAGTGATTCTTCGGATTTGGCTGCAGACACTTCCTTTCAAAGCCTTTCAAAGCAAAGCTGTCCAGTGGCAATGCAAGCCATAGATTTCACACAAGAAGAGCTGGTGGAACTTGTTGTATTGCGGCTTATGTCCATTATATATATACATAATGTGTGTATGTATATATATATACATATTTGGTGAATTTATTGGACTCTCAATTTGATCTGCAACCTCTCCCTCACTGCCAGTGGAAGGCTAATGAGTGAGAGCATTGGCGGAAAGACGCCTAGACACGGGCACCTGTGCCTTTGAAACATGTACATCATTCCCCAATCATCAAGTGCCTGCTGCACTTTACAGGATGGAACGGTAGTGTTTCTACAACCGGCTTCGGATGCGCATGATACACTTTGCCCATGCTATCATATGGGGATGGATACCTAGTCTACTGAATATTTACTCTATATTTAGGGTATATTTAGGGTGAACATCCAGAAATCCAATCTATTTCATGGTGTGACAAGTAGGGTATCTGGGTTTCAACCCATAGCCCTCTGAAAAAGACCTTCCACGGTGCTGGCGTTTTTTCATCCACGGTGCGCTGTGCCCAGATGATCGTGGGACCGCCAACCCCGGGATGTTTGGATCGTGACTCGTCGCCTGAAGCTTGGATACCATCTGGTAACTTCAACATGGCTATGGTATCCTGGGGGGGTTGGAACCACCAGAGGGACAAAGACTGTGGCCAACAAAGGCTTTTCTGTAGGCACTTCCGAAAAAAGAAAAACTAAGCCGCTAAGAGGATGATGATTATATTATTATCATTATGGTTATTACTATTATTGTTATTATTTACTATCTCTGCGGATATGAGATATGCTGAAATGCCTCTGGAATCATTGATTTGGATTGGGTGTGAATCTAAGATTCAAAATTAACTCAACTCAAAGAATGCTTCATCCTTGATTCAAGCACCTTCATCGGATAGCAACAAAGTTTTCCTGTAGGCCCCAAGATTCTACTTATTCTGATTGCTTTCCAGCGATTTTAATGGGCTGAAACTTCTTGGCAACTTCAGCCTTTGGATCAGAGTTTTGAGCTGCCTGCAGACATTGTTGGCCATTCCCTCGTTGTAGCTAGTGAGAACGTGAGATGCCAGGAAACATTAAAAAGGTATCTTTGCTCACTCTGTGAAAACAACATCCGCGGTATTTGTATTCCATGTTCAAAGTTATGTTTCCACCGGTTCCATAGCCGCGAAGATGGGTACTGTGTAGCACATGTTGGACAGTGATAGCACATACTCTTGTAGTGTTGGGCTGTCACCACTGTGATCACCGTAGGTCCATGGTTGGTCTTTGTAGCAAAGTGCGGATGCTGCACACTTTGGGCAAAGACAGTGAGCCACAAAGAGCTCATTGGTTCATTGCTTCAGTTGACCATTGAGTTAACTGGTCGCTAAAAATCTACGGAATGTTTACATACGTCGATGCACCACGTAATTCAAGGCCCTGCATGCGGCCGAAGTGGAGCTGTAGACTATGAGAACCAGGGCCGCGATGTCCCTTTGAAAAAGCATAGGTGGAGTTCATGGGACGGCGTGAAAAATGTCAACGAATGGTTTTAATATTTGGGATGTTGATCCAAACTAGCGAATATGTATGGGGTGAGTTGAAAGCACGATTGTAGGTCATATATAGTCACATAATTGTATATTAATATATATATATTAATTCATCACAGTTTTTTTAATAGCTTAAGCATTTTGATTTCACGACCAGTTACAGTCTAAGACAGGAGTTGCGACCGAACATTTGATGGTGGAAGGGACTTATTCATGGTGCTTTGCTGCGATGTTGTCAATTAGCAGCTTGACAAGCAGGACAACTAACATGATGAAGCGATCATAAGTCACAAGTAGGAAGCTGCAAGCAGAAATGTACTTGTAGTTGCAGGTAGTTGCATGTAGTTGCAATGTATGTCGTCATTAATCAAAACAACACATATCATCAATTACCACCAGTCATCATCAATTCAATCATCATCAGTCATCATCAATTATCATCAACCATCATCAATCATCACCATTAACCACAATTAACCAGCCATTAATCACCATTAGTCAGCCCCGAACCTGCTCTCGTCACACAAGCGGATGCCATGGAGTGTGACGATGGAGGTCTTGGACGAGCTGTTGGTGCTAAAGGTGGGCTGTCGCCATCAATTAGGGTCTCCAAAATAGCGATATCAAATCAGATAATCATCTCAATAAAATCATCATATATATTATGTGTATTCATTTATAATATGTTAGAATAATTTAAAAGATATATAAGCATATGACAATTCAATCAATGTATGACCCAGGTTTTCGGTGCAAAAAAGATGCCGTGTTCTCAGGGCTCTCCCGGCCAGGTGCTGGCGTTTTGTTCTCTGAAGTCGCTGGCCACCTGGGAGACGCTGCGTTCCTCGAGAGAACGGCAGAGTGCCGAGCGCCTCGGAGGATCGGGAGGATGGGTTGGTTTCAGCAACGAAAGATGGGTAGTGTATCATTATAATCATTATGGGTAATGTATGATTATATTATTCATCAGTGATCATAATATAAAGATGATTAAAGATGATTATCAGTGAAATTATAATCATCAGTGAATCTAATGAAATATTTATTCATCAGTGAAATTACTGCTTGGTGGTTTCAAACATGAATGGATTCTCTTCCATAATATATGGGATGTCATCCTTCCCATTGACGAACTCATATTTTTCAATGTGGTTAAAACCACCAAGCAGTTATTCAATATGGAGTTCACATGATTTCACTATTGAAAAAATAATGATTTCACCAATATTGGAGATGAGTCTGGCTGAAAATGGGAAAACTACCAACAACATGTGGTGATTTGAATAGGGAACATGATGAAAACATAGTGGATGCAACGGGTATGGGACAAAACCATATCAGTTTAATATATATCTTGACCCCCAGTTGACCCAGTTTCCACAACAGCGATGGGTCATTATATTGTTTCCTGTTTCATGGATGTTGGATATAACCAACCAACAACATGGACCTGAACATTTACGGAAAAACAAATCAAACAAACAAAACACATTCAATGGTCTGTCATCGTTGTTCATACTTTTTACATTGACATATGGCTGTATCTTCCATCTCAGACAAGGCAGCCATCTGTAGATATCTACGGTTGAAGATGGTTTGGTATGGCTTGGTTGTGACAATGTCGGCTTCAAAAATCGCTCGAAGATTTCTGGGTTGATGCTACACATGATCCAGGGACTTGAGCCAGGCATTGGGACTTGGGATTTACCTTCGAGCCTCAGCGAAAATGTTGTCCATTGATGGAACCCATGGAAAATGATCTACAAATATGGTAGATGTATGTAGATGTTCCATATCTATGTCAGAATATTCGTTCTTCTTGCTTGACCTACAGTACTCTCTAGCACCTAGCGCTCTAAGACACGTGTTCAGTGGGGTTGTGTTGTTTTCCAAATAAAGTTGTAGTGCTGCTTCATGGGCGTGGATTGCTCTAAGGGCCCGTTTCATGCAATTACTTTGACTGATCAAGGTACAGAAGCAAAGCGGCAAAGCACAATCAGAAGTGAAAGTTACCAGAGCTATGTTGAAGGGCTCATCATGATTCTTCATGTGAGAATCGATTAGCTGCACCTCCACTGGAGGATTGAGTCTCCAGTTATGTTTGTTGATCACCATGAATCCCATCCTTGGCATACTTACAAAGCGTTTTACCTATCGGTTTGGAAAACCTCCCATTCCTGCATGTGTATATATGATTAAACTCTAATTGTATAATGTGATTCATATCATCATATCAGATCATACCATACCATATCATATCATATCTCATATCATATATCACATCATATCACAGATCATATCATAACATATCATATCATATAATATCACAGCACATATCTACATCCCCTCAACTACATAAGGTCTAGAGTACCCAACCCTCCAGGCCTCAGGGGCCCAGGGTCTAGAGTACTTCCTAGAGCACTGTAGACCCTCTGCATTTAAGGTACTATAGACCCTTGAGCGTGTCTATGTTGGACATGATATATGGATGTCCCATAATTTTCAACTTTGAAGATGTAAGGCAGATCTTGTTTTTTCAAAGGTCTGGACAGCTTTTCTGGCAATCATCAGGACAGGTTGGTTTTGCTGACCATTGTAGCTCTAGACCTTTGCCAAGCTAGATTCCCCAGTTTTTACAGAGGTCTGGTCAGCTTTTCTGGCAATCATCAGGACAGGTTGGTTTTGCTGACCATTGTAGCTCTAGACCTTTGCCAAGCTAGATTCCCCAGTTCTTACAGAGGTCTGGACAGCGTTTCTGGCCTTGATCAACACAGATTGTTTTTGCTGGCCATTGTGTTTCTAGACCTTTGCCACGCTAGATTCCCCAGGTCGTACAAAGGTCTGGACAGCCTTTCTGGCACTGATCAAGACTGTTTTTTTGACCAACCATGTTAGGCCTAGTCCTTTGCACAATTAGATTTCCAATGCATTTTATTTGTAGACTTTTGCAACCATAGATTTCCAATGACCCCCAAAGGTCTGGATAGCCTCTCCGGCACCATTTTTCAGTGACTTAATATAATTTGTAGTATTTTTGAAACATAGTTTATTTTCAATATTCACTTGCATTAAAAATAGTTTTTTATTTCTTTTTGGTAAGTTTGATTTATTTATGAAAATTATATATGTTTTTTTGATTTTTCATTTTTTTCTGATATATATATATTTTTTAAATAAGATTTTCAGATTCTTATTGATGTTTTCTGTTTTTTTTTCTGATTTTTTTTCATATTTTTTTTATTTTTATCTAAAATTTTTAGATTTTTCTGAAATTTTATTTTTTTCTGAAATTTTCAGATTTTTTCTGAAAATCTGAAATTTTCAGATTTTTTCTGATTTTTTCAGATTTTTTCTTAAAATTTGAAATTTTCAGATTTTTTCTGAATTTTTCAGTTTTTTTTCTGAAAATCTGAAATTTTCAGATTTTCTCTGAATTTTTCATTTTTTTTTGAAAATCCGAAATTTTCAGATTTTTTCTGAATTTTTCATTTTTTTCTGAAAATCCGAAATTTTCAGATTTTTTCTGAAAATCTGATTTTCAGATTTTTTCTGAAGTTTTCATATTTTCTGAAAATCTGAAATTTTCAGATGTTTTATGTTTTTTTCAGATTTTTTCTGAAAATCTGAAATTTTCAGAAATTTTCTGAATTGTTCACATTTTTTCTGAAATCTGAAATTTTCAGAATTTTTCTGAATTTTTCATTTTTTTCTGAAAATACTATATTTAATTTTAATTTAAATTTAATTAAAATCTGAAATTTTCAGAATTTTTCTGATTTGCACCATTCCTGAAGTGTGGATGTTCATGGCAAGAGCCCAAGAGCACTGGTGAAAAACGTGTGACAGCAGCGAAGAAAAAAATGAGCGAGAGAAAACATGTTGTTTGAAACATATTTTTTTTTATTTTTGACGCATGGGTAAACGTCTTCAGACCTTCAGCATCTGTAAGGTCCAAGGGTCTAGAGTATTGAGATTGTTTTTCGTGATTTAGCTATGTAACTCTTCTTCAGACCCCGTTTTTAGGGTCTACAGTGTAAGATCCAGGGTCCCAGCCAGGTAGCTGATGGTATATATCTACCATATAGAACCTCGGTTATGTGAATTATAAACCAACTCAGCTATGTGCAGCCCTATGGTGCACCACTTCTCAGGTATGCCTCCTATTGGTTGCGACTTCTCCATGGCCAAGCCGATGTCTCCGACGTCTCCCGAGACCCGCGAGCCGCGACGGCAGCGAAGGCGGAGTTGCGGGGCATCAAAGCGGCCTTCGCCCAGCTGAGCGTCTCCCGGGCCTCCAATGGAGGATCTCCCATTGGTCCATGGATGGGATGGACGGGCCATTCATCCATCGGGGATGGATGGGCCATCCATGTTGGGTGTAAGATTTTTTCGAACATGTACGGTATATGAAAAAACTCATGATGGTGAAGTTGAAGTGTGAAAAACCGTGATTTTTTGGAGAGTGCTCCGTTTTGTTTCGGACAAAACCAGTTTTTCTGGGTGAAGGTTTGGTAACCAGACCGACCCCTAGCCTTGAATGACTCATATGCCGTGGTAAAAGATGGCAGACTCATAAAGAGTATAGGGTAAATTCAAAATTATTGACTACAAACATGATAGTTTCATGATGTTGAATGTTTAAGGCAGTTTAAGGTCTAAAACCATCAATCCCAGGCCTCTTGTGGGTCCACTGACACCCCCATGTTTGGCCCATCAGCATGTCAATTGCATGACGCCCTGAAACAGGATGGAAAGCCCTTAGTATTGGAGCAACGAGCCTGCAAGAATGACTGTGTGATCAGCTGATATTCTTGAGATTTCTTGAGACATTTCTTGATGTTTCCAACATGACAACCTTTCGTCGCCTCGCTGATGTTGCCATGCAGGAAATCGGGCATTTGATGAATTGATACTTTCTTCCACTGGTGCAGTTAGAAGTTCGATAAGAATGGAAACAAACACCTGACAAGTGTGGACAATTTCAGTTTTTGGTGGGTGAACTTGATGTTCGATGATTAGGCTTCCATAGTTTTTGCAATGTTACCATCTGATTTAGCATAGCCATGGAACATCACCATGCTTTTAATACGTAAACCACTTATAAATGGGCCATGGCTTCCATGGCTATGTTAGTTAGTCATAACTGTTGATATCTCCACACGAGGAATTGGAGGAGTGTTCTCTGATGGCTCATCGGCTCCACCTGGATTATGGGGAAGGCCGGCGCTTGTTTGACGCGGAAGGGAGGTGCATCGCACAGGTTCAGCGCGTCGGATTGATGCTTGGCAAGACCCAAGGGACCCAAGGGGTTGGTGACATGTCCCCCAGCACACTCCAAGCATCCCATATGATATTATGTAATTCCTATGTATTGTGTATGATATGTATATAATCTATCCACATTCAATTTTCATTTCCGACTGCCCTGTCCTTCACCATTTTTCATCCACTTGTCACTTGTCCCAGATTTTTTCCATCAAGGACGCACTTTGACGTGCAGGGTTGCTTTGCAGATGATGATTGGCATAACTTTTTGGAATCTGTTCGCGACAGTGAGTGGAGACCTCTGCGGCAACTGCGTCCTGCTCGCTCCGAATACCTTGAGGTCTCTGGATGAAAGAAAGGGCTCTGTGTGTTTTTTTTAGATGCTTGTTTAGGGAGTTTGAACAGCTTTGAACATAAAGTCTATTAAAATACATTTAAAAGACTAATGACTAAAGTCAGATCTCATTATATCAACATATATATATAGGTGTCGTGATGATCCCTCATGATCCAAAGCAAGGAACAACTTAAAGAACACAAAGAGGAAAAAAAACGTATCGATTGCATGTATATAATATATATATATATACACATAATGTGACTAATAGTATAATAGTGTATTTATATATTGTTAGTAAATATAATAATGATGCCATGGTGATCCTTCAGAATAAAACATACAACAGACGAGTCTAGGCGCCAGATCCAAAACCTCTCCATGGCCGACGCCTGAGGTCTTTGACACTCTGCTCAGCTTCGGCCTGATTACTGAAGGTCGCAGCCCGGGTGGAGTAAGATGTTACAATTATATGGTATATTTATATGGTGTATATATATATATAGTAAATATGTATACTATATATGTATAATGTATATATATATATATCTACTATGTGACATGTGATATATCAGAACATACGAAGAGACAAGAATCAAACAAGAGAACATGGGACCATCGCTTCAAGCTTCGAAACGCCGCGAGGTCATCCAGCCTTTCATGGTTTTGCGTTTATGCCGGACATGAGCAATCTCGTTTGGCGAGCCGAAGGACAGATGTTAGGCAGATCCGCGATGTCCAAAGACTCCCATGATGCCATAGTGTGTGTGTGTGAACCATCTGAATAGATGTAAAACTTCATTTTTTTTTCAGTTTACAAAGGCAGGGGGACCATCCATGTACTGTGAGCGATGGTCCAACGAAGCGGCCACAGTACATGCGGATATCACGGCTGATCACCGTGACGTACCTGCTTTTTTCATGTTGCTTTTTTCATGTCACTTTTTTCATGTCAATTTTATGCAATGGGACGTGGCTATAACCCGAGAACCACCATGCCGTTTCCAAACAACCTGTTTTCAACTTGTCCAGGAGGTAACGATTCGGTTCAGATGGAAATGTTGCATCTAGCAGTGGCCTTGAAATACTTTCCTCGTGATCCTTCTCGGATCTGTTCATCAACCTTTTCCTGTCAGGTATAACTGGAGTGTTTTTGCACGTAGGATGCACTCCACATCAGAATTCACAAAGATTGTTCTGAGCCAGTGTGTGGTTCATGCTGGATTCGTCACGGTGGCATGAACCCCTCGGGGAATGCTTGTCTAAGCAGGAGAGTGAAGCAACGACCTGATCTCTGAATTCACACATTTTATATAAGTTAGTAATTTGTTTAAGTAAAGTGTAACAGTTGGCCTGTTTTTCGTTTTTCACCCATCGGTCGAGTGAGTGTTGAAACAGCTTGCCGCCGTACCTGGCGCCACCATTTTCAGTGCACTGACAGGGTTGGTAGCCTTCAGCCGCGATAACCTTCCTTTTTCAAGATTGCTCGAGCATTTTCAGATGTCGACAATTGCAACATGAGGATTCCAGGCACAGGCCATGCTTGCAGGTATGGTGACTCTTCTTTTTATGGTCGTTGGTACGGTTCAAACGTGCATGTAAATGTAATTCATCTGACTACTGACAGTGATCTGACGACCGAGGGCCCTTGAGCCTTATCACGACTGTTGCATGGATAGTGGACACATCAATTCTCATCAACTAGTTCCCCATTGGTCCCCTATCTCATGCGTGCTCCCTTTCTATAGGTCAGGTTTGGGCCCTTCACGTGCCGAGGTAGGTTTTGGCTCTCGCCTTGTAGGTTGTGTCAGGCGCTTCTGTCCGCCCCCCCCTCCTCTGGTTGGTGTTTGGCCCGTCGTCCGTCCGCTTTTTCTTTTCCCTTGCCCTTTCAGGGTTTGCCCGTTTTGGGCTAGGTGTGTTGGTGTTGGTGTTTTCCCTTTTCCTTTTCCCTTTTTGCGTTCCCCCTCTTGTGTTCCAGTTAAGTAATTATCATCTCATTTCCACGTTCCTTTCATTTTCACCTTCATCTCATTCGTCGGGGCCTTAAAAAGCCCCGCGGCAGCGGGGCGTGTGTGTGAACCATCTGAATAGATGTAAAACTTCATTTTTTTTTCAGTTTACAAAGGCAGGGGGACCATCCATGTACTGTGAGCGATGGTCCAACGAAGCGGCCACAGTACATGCGGATATCACGGCTGATCACCGTGACGTACCTGCTTTTTTCATGTCACTTTTTTCATGTCAATTTTATGCAATGGGACGTGGCTATAACCCGAGAACCACCATGCCGTTTCCAAACAACCTGTTTTCAACTTGTCCAGGAGGCAACGATTTGGTTCAGATGGAAATGTTGCATCTAGCAGTGGCCTTGAAATACTTTCCTCGTGATCCTTCTCGGATCTGTTCATCAACCTTTTCCTGTCAGGTATAACTGGAATGGTTTTGCACGTAGGATGCGCTCCACATCAGAATTCGCAAAGATTGTTCTGAGCCAGTGTGTGTTGAGCCATGTTTGTGTCCTGATCTTTGATCAGCTTTACATTTCCCAAATGATTTGACCATATTTGACCCCAGATTTCATTTTTGCCCGCCAAAATTGCCTTTTAATTGAGGAACACAGTGATAAACTGTGGGATTTTTGTGGGTTCCATAGGGTTAAAACATCCTTTGTTTGGTCTGGTGCCCTGCAGGACACCGTCAGTTTCTGCATGTGGTGATGACATTGTTCTGTGGCGGCATTCAACGACGATGTGAGGCCTACATGGGTCCAGGAGACTTGGATGGCAACAGATACCGTCCGGGACCAGATCTGGGATTCTTCAAAACCCGGGTCGGTTGATGATTAATTATAGGCTGTATAATCCCCCATAAAATATAGGGGATGATACTACCTAATATATTGGGAATTCTAGTAGATTCTAGTAATTAATAATAGGGGAATCCCCTTTTTCACCAACCAGTATTGGTTTATGCGTTTGTTTAGTTTGGTGGTTTGATGTTGACTGATACGATACGCCTGCCCTGACAATATCATGATATCAATTTCTATGGATCTGTTTTTCTGGTGCCTGACTGCTCATCAAGAGTTTTTTTGTCAGGAAGAAATATGACAGAGAGTCGGTCAAGCGATCAAAGTACCATCAATGAATTCAGAGTTCTGTTCCTTGTACCAAGCACTTGTTACGTGGCAGCTGATCCAAATATGTTATAATATGTTGTTCTTTTGGCTGGATGTATATAGAAACTTACATCTATTGATAGGGGTTTCCTACGTTTCCTGCCTCCATCCACAAGGGTTCAGAGATGTCACCATTGCCTCATTGCCAGGAAACGAGGATGTCTTGGACCAGTACATCGGCTATTTCCAGCCCTGGCACGTTGCCCCGTTCTGGGTGCACACGCCCAGCAATTTTGAGGGTCTTCACCAAAGTGTGAATTTGGAAATGCGCCAAATGTCCATTGAAAGTCCCAGCAGCAGATGGCACTGTGTTCAAACCATGGATGCCGAATGGAACGAACACTTGGACAGCACACCTTTCTGCCCAACGATCTTCGCAGGGGCACAGAATCCCTTTGCAACGCTTCCCTTTGAAGCTGGTCTGTTTGAGGGTTCCATTGCTTTAATTCGCCAGGGTGGAGGTCACTTGAATGCAGCTGTGACCCTGGTGGAAAGTAATTAACAACTTAGGAGGGTTCCTAAGTCATGGGGGTACCCCAATTCATCTTTTTTTTTGAGGATGTTCCATTATGAACCAGCTATTGGGGTACCCCCATCCAGGAAACCCCCATTATAGAGATGTATGTATGATCTCACCTACAAGTGGTTAATTTACCGGAGGGAAACATATGTGTATATATATATATGTGTGTTGTATTAAAAGGACTGAGACACCCTTGTGTTGTTCTGTGTGAATGTCGATAGGCAGGGGTTTTAGCTGCTGAGGCTGTGGTTTTGCACACAAAGCTTGTGCAGCCAGAGATGCAGGTGCAGTTGGTTGCATCATTTGGAGCACTGAGCCCATTCTGGATTTGTCCCTCGCAGTTTTCTGAAAGTACACGACATGTTTTCCACATTTTTAGTTCCAAAATTGTTCATTCATGTTTTTCATTGTTTTTCCCAGATCCTCTGGTACTAGTAGCGGTAAGTGAATATCGCAAAGTATCGTGAGTCATCCAAAGTGCTTGATATGTTTGCCACATCGTTCACATCCTCTAGATTCCTCTAGTACTAGTAGCCAAGGGTTTTAAATTCACAGTGAATCATCCTTAACTGGTTGGTGGTTTGGAACATTTTTTATTTTTCCATATATTGGGAATCATAATCCCAATTGACTTTCACTCCATCATTTTTCAGAGGGTTTGCTCAACCACCAGTTAAGATTGTGCCAGCCGCTGCCAGCCCGGTCTCCCAGGTTAAATGGACCAATGGTCCGTACTTTCCAGGGTCAAGAAAGTCCAGATCCAGGGATTCCTTGTGTGCTGATCTCTGACGATGCTGGTCGACGTGTCCATGCCGCGCTGGATCAAGGTCCGAAGAAAAACATGCTCCGACATGATCCGATCGATGTAATCTCCCTTTCAGATGGTGGTTTAATTAAGGCCACAAAAAAAAAAGGTGAGTATGCTCTTCGAACACGCCAATCATGCTGGATTTGAATGGGATTGGATCCCTACAAAAGTATGAAGTGTAGTCAACCAAAACAGAAGAAGGAAGACCAAATCAAAATGAAATTTTCAAACACCTTTGAAAGTTGTTATACCTACTTAGACCCCCAAATACCCATGAAAATTGGTAAAGTTCCAAAAGAGTGGTCTATTAACCCCATTGTTCTAGGTGCTCGGAGGGTCTAGGTACAATCATTTTGTTGCCACTCAGATAGAGCCGCCCTGAGGACCTTTATACGTCCAGATCAGAATCGATCGCAACGAGTCCTTCCAGACCTTTCGCGAGAACGTGGCCCAGGGCCATCGCGTCCGTGTGGCGATGTTGGCCGAATACATCAGCGCGAAACCTGGAATGGGCGGCGTTGATTTTCAGGAATATTTCTTTCGAAATATGTGACCTGGTCACTTTTGGATTCCAGGTAGATGTACATATCATTCAGGCCTGTTGCATTGTTTGAACCCACAGCCTATGCTGCACGGATAGGGTTTTGGTATGTTCTGGTTCTGTTGTTGTTGTTGTGGTTGCTTTGGGCGTTGTGTCGGCTTTGCTTGCGCAAAAAACAGGTTCTGAATGCTCATAGAAGTGTTGTGTTGTTTGTACAGTCTAGGATGGTTTCCAACGAGCAACGCTTTTGCAAACATGGTAGCAGGCAAAAAAAGTATGCTTGCATCATGGTGAGGAATGAAGTTCTACAATGTCTATTGTAACATACAGCAACAACATGCAACAACTCCAAAGCCTGCAACACTGACTGTCTGTCTAGGCTTCATAGCAGTTGATGGAGCAGGAACTGTTTGTTGCCTTGGACTTATGTACTTCTTGTGACTCAAATGTTTGAAGTTTCGCCTCACATGGTGCGACTGTATGTTGAGCTGGGCTCAAAGGATCGTGATACAAATTGTTTTTCCTATTGAATCCAGTAGTCATGTCGGATGTTGCTGGACTTTGCAGCAACACAGCCGAGTGTATGACTGACTTCCATGTGAATCTCTACGCGCTGTCACCATTCATAGTGCATATGTTGCTTCGCCAGCAATGCTCACCGCCTACTTCGGACAAGACAATCCAGGAGGCAAGCCATGGAATACAGATGGACATCTTGCGCACGAAATTTTCCACAGAAAACTCATGGGATATGAAAGAAGGCGACTTGAGTCGAGACGCTCTTCTTCCTCGCATAGTTTCTGGTGAGTTCCATGTGATCTTCAACCCCGTGGCATTTCACGAGTGCCATGGTGTTCCATACGAAGGCCGAGCCGATCTATTACATCGCATCATGAATGGCTCACAGCACCAGTATATGGTCAAGGTTGTGGCAAGCACCAAAGCTTTGCGCCCGCAGATTGTCATGAAAGCACTGTTTTGTCATCATGTGCTTTCATTGATGTTGGGCAAGGACAGGAAATTAAACAAAAGTAGATCTTTGTTCATGCTTTGACGGAGAAATCAGAAAACACTTCATGAAACAAGAAACAAGAGGGTTTCCAATCCTAAGCATATCTTCATAAGGAACCAGGTTTTCACAAAGGTCTTGAATCAAGTTAAACATAAACCGTTTATATATATACCCTGGGCGTCAATGTTGAAGTTTACCTCCTACGCGGACAATGTTGATGTTTGGGTTGATTAAACATCGACATTCGCAATGTTGATGTTTAACCCCTGTGAAGAAATCTATGGACCTTGGAAGCGCAATGAAGTGCAAAATCATCATAGACATATTCATTATTCCAATTTCCCAACGTGTAAGGGCCCTTGGAACTGAATTTGAAACCTACAAGATCCTACAAGTATTGAATTTCCAGACAGGAAACAGATCAAGGAACCATATTTGCAAGTATTTGCATTTTTACTGTCAGAGTTCACGGACAAAACATGGGACCTTAAACGGTTTGGAAATTTGCCGCTCCCAGAAGCTCATGCCACAGATTGATATGAATTAATGCCCAAAGAAATCGGGAACTCAGTTTGGCCACCGGAGGACCAGACACACCCCCAAAAATCCTTAGCGCGAAATAGCGTAAAGTACCCGTGAAGTTTGCGTGAAATGCGGTGTTTACCCGTGAAATGCGGTGTTTACCCGTGAAATGCGATGTTTGCCCGAGGAGAAGAGCAACCCCATGCCACCTCTAGAATATAATGTGTTTTTGCTTTTTTTCTTGTTTGATTAACCAGTCTGGTCATCCGGATGCCAACCGCATCCACATTCCTTGACTGGCCTTTGTGAAAACACCTCTCCCATGGTGTCTTTTGTTTACAAGATTGAGTTTGGGAGAATCTAGGGCAAAACACCCGCTCTCATGCAAACATATATGTATCGTTGAGTGGAAACAAAACAAAGTGATATCGCATGAGTTTGACTAGTGAAGCATGTCCAAGATAAAGATCCGGCAGCAGTACAAAAAAGGTTGATAAATTTCTGCACCTCATGTCTCAAGGGTAAACATCGACATTGATGAGTAAACATCGACATTACACAAATGCATAGGTAAACTTCGACATTAGTGAAATGCTTAGGTAAACATCAACATTGGACTTTCAGGGTATATGTTTGTCTAGAAACAGGGTCCCACACGTCCAATGATTTGTTTATTGAATTGTTTTCCATTGAAACACAACCAATTTGGGGTATCCACCATTTTTAGACAGAATCATCTATTGTCACGAGCTTCAATGTGGCAAAAAATCGCACCAAATGTTCGCCACATTGTGTTCTCCCCCCTTGACAAAAGGACAGCGGGAAGCTGCACAAGACCGTGGCAGTGGTTCTGAGCGACGCTTCAGAGAGCGAAATTGATACTGGCAGCTTGGCTTCGACACTTTCTTGTTGCGTGGCAGCTTGGGTTGGTTTATTTTGGATCACTTTGGCTACAGCTTGGATAAGAATCTTACGTCACAAGAAAGATCAAGAAAGTATGATGGCTGACGAACCAGAAAGATGCTAATTGGCGAAGGTCAGAGATGTAATTGGTTATGCGGGGCTTTCAAGCTTGTTTCGGGGCAGACTGTTACACATATTTTTCAATTCTTGATTTGGGAGGTATCGCGGTATCGCAACGATCTGGAAACAAGGACGTTGCATTTTCTCAACGGATGTGTAATTTGTTGATTGTATCCATGTTACGCGTGTGATTTGATCATGCATCATCCAAAGCGCATCGACTTCTTGAAGTGTTCATTCCTACACCGACAGTCCGCCCAGAAGATTCATCGTTTTGCATTGTTAGACTCGAGAGGCAAGACATTCGCAACTTCTTAGGGACACCGTTAGCCTTAGTCTACTTGAAATGCAAAGATCTTGTTGGTTTGTAATCTGCGAATGTTTTGCTGAGTGTGTACAAGAAACAACACCACAAAATAAACAATTGAGGCCAGTGGCTTTATTGCCATGTAATTACCAAGCTAGTTAGTGCACCCAGACATGGACCGTCCAGAAGCTGTACGCCAATGATGTTCGGACAAGCGCGGGATATGAAGCACCAAAGTCCAGGCACAAATGTGGTGACTTTGCTCTAAGTTTGAGGTCCAAGTCAACGATCAGGCTCACAGAAGTGGTTTGGGGATGTTACTTGTAGAGGAAATCATGTCATGGTTTAGTTCCTGCAGAGTGTCCCTGTTTCCCAATCCATTGACATCCTAATTTTTCAAATTTGGTTGGTCAAGCCATTTGAAAATATTTGAAACACCATATGTATATTTTCGTGGTTTGTGTAATATATATATATATAAATTATATATATATATATATTGACACATTTTAATTGACATTCCTTTCTCAAACGAGTCGGGATTGCACCTGCCAAGGTGATCATCAGAAAGTCCTCGAATCGCAATGTGCGGAACTTCGAAAGCTTTGGCGGCCCGACGGGAAAGGGGGTATATGCAGCTTAATCGATGAAGTGATGAATACAAGGAATGGATTTAGGGGCAGACATGGGTAGACAATTTTCAGAAGCCAAATCTGCTCAGAGACAAAATGTGAATGCATTACAGCTATATTTCCGATTTGTGTTCACTGTACAGCCACCGACGGGATTATGGAAAAGAGGTATAATTTACAGGCACCGCCCATCTATCACGGGAAAAAAGTATGTTGTTCATTGTTGTTCCATAATTATGTTTTCCTATTTTCCATAATTCTGTCAGCTGGAACGCGTCCATAGATTCGTAGTTTGAATGCATTTTAAAGAGGGAGTATTGAATTATGGAAAATATATGAAAATATGCATGTGTCTAAAAATCAAAGATACTCTATACCCAAAGCAATTTTCAGACCTATTCAGGTTGTTGCCATTGATGTTGAGCAATTGTCTAGCCTATTTCAGACTATTCAGCATTAGCAGTTGTTTGACGTAGTCTTGTGCCATTGGTTTCAAGCAAGTGTCCATCCTATTTCAGAAATTTTACATTGGTGTTCACCTCTTTTCCAAGAGATTCCAAGAGATTTCAGCATCTCATCATGGTTTTCATCAGTTTTTCAAATCTATTATATTATAATATATCCCTGGAGGGTGTATATAATATATATATATATATATTTGCATTGGCTTTCATTAGTTTCTTTCTCCCATTTTTATCGGATATTTTGTTACGGTTCTGTTTTTCTATAATTGGCTTTTCCGGGAAATGGTCGTTCAGGATGACCAATCCATAAAGAAACTTATACACATTTGCTGATCAGTTGTTCCAAGATAGATTTCATCATTATACAATATTGGTTTAAGCAATGTTCCAACCTATTTCAGCCTTTTGCCATTGGTTTCAAGCAAGCGTCTAACCTATTTCAGTTTGTTTCCATTTGTTTAAAGCAATTCTGACCAATTTCAGCATTTTTCCGCTGGTTTCCAGCAGTATGTTCAACCCTATTTGTGATGTTTAGCATTGACTTTCATCTGTTGTCTGTTGTTTGACCTTTTTAATAATCTTACCATTGCTTTTAAGCCATTTACGAAAACCACAAAAAACTGGGTTTGAAATGTCGATCCATGACATGGCCAACAGGTGGACCGGAAAAGAATAATGATGGAACAAAAACGGCTTAATTTGCTCCAAGCCACTGAAAATTCTGGGCCCAGGAATTATGGAAAAAACAGCTCGGATCACATCCAGGAAAAATTGAACCCTTACGAGGAAAATCCCATTACTGAACGAAACGGAGACATGTCCAAGTTAGACCTTTTTTTCCCATAATTCTGTTGGTTGCCATATGTCAAAAAGTGTCGTGAGTGCAATGATCCTCTCTTTTCATGGACATGATTCAAGAGTCTCTAAGCACCCAGGAAGAGCTCTGAAACCCCAAAGCCTTCTGGACAAGACTTACGGTTGAGCCGGAACTTTGCGCGGATTGCATACAGGCGCAGCAGTCGTGCTGATCTGGTTCCGTGGTGATTTTCCAAGTGCTTGCGACATATTTTTGCGGCCCATGTTTTTGCGACTGTTTTGCTGCGACATGCTGACATCTTCATGTTGTAAGACATCAGAAAGGTAAGGTAAGAACATGTGAGGCGTTTGTTGGACGAAGATAGCATCGAACTGATCTCCTTCTTGAAGCCCAACCAGAAACGTCAGATGCGTCCCCTGGTTGCAGCTTTCTGAAACATCCAATTGCCCCCATTGCTGGCCACCTGTTCTGCTATAGCTGCCAACATTTGGGATACAGCTAAGTCAAATTGTAAGTGATACAAATGCTTACTTTTAAACCTCCTAGAGTCCTAGAGACACAAACTATAGGAAGCATGGACGGCTTACTACCCAAGGATTGCCAAAACTCAGTGGTTCCCAGTACTGCAGTGGCCCAATTCCCCAAGGCAAGCGTGGACTTGGAACTCTGAGCGCTCTCCGCCGAGCAACTTTCGAGCAAATGAAAGACTTTATGTCGGAGAAGGCCGGGCTGAATCCATATCACCCAAAATTGATCACCTTTATGGGAAGATCATATCAGAATGGTCATCGGATGTCATCAGCATTGTACCGGGGATGTGACGCGGATATAAATGTGAGCCCTGGATTAAAATACATCGGGTTGTTTGATGGGAGCGGCACATCCTTTGGCAAAGTAAAAGTATCACTATTTGAGGGTAGCCCCGCGGTAGCCCCCTTATCAACCAGGGAATGTTGAAATCGGTTGACACTGATGCCTTTGATGTCAACTCCTGTGCTGTGTTCATGGCGCGGAAATCTACGCTGTCACTGTCCAGGTGTTTCACAGGGCACATCGTCATGCAAAGCTTCTGGTGGACGAGACCAAGGAGCAGATTCTCGGGGTTGCATCACTCTCCGTCCCGGCAGATAAGGTCATACTGACTCGTTTATCAGAAAAGAATCAGAAAAGAATCATAAATGTTTTTTTCCTGGTTAAAGCATGTTAAATCCCACTTTTCTGGTTATATAAATCCCAGGTATCGCTAATTAAACAATGTCAAAACCGAATTCTGAAATCAGCACAGCAACTCTGCAGGACTTCTGCCACGTTGAAGGCAATCATCACCCTCTACGTGAAGACCTCAAAAGTGTCATTGGACCGTCACCTCTTGTGGCAGATGTCATTGCTGGACCCGAGCCTTCGCTCAACACATTTCTCT